TCCCCTAATCATCTTTGTTGGTCTTCTCGGCACTCTTAGGGGGTCTCTCTCTAGATATTAGCCATAGCTTGTGCATGCGGGGATACACACACACACACACACACACACACACACACACACACAGCATGATTTCCCACACTGACAGGGAAAGCTTGAAGGAAACTAAACTGGTTCATCCTGAAGAACTGTGCCTTTCATTCAGCTTCAGTGCAAGTCTCATTCCATTCTTCTGTCCAGCATTCTCTCTGTCTGTTTTCCCACCTGTCATTTTATGAATCTTTTAACTTATTTTATTACTCTTTATTCAATTTTAAGGCTTTCCACTCCCTGAGTGATTTTTGGGCGGCTTACCAGAGGGTTAAAAGATCAAAACAGAGCAACCACTTAAATCACAGCGGCCAAACGACTGCAGTAAAACAATCACACTGTGGAAAAACTTGGTGTTCAACATTTTAGTAGATTCTCACATTGTCCTGGCTTGGTGCCTACAGGAAGAGCTAGATCTTTAAGGCCTTTGGGAAGGTTGTGACCGTTGTACTGAATCTTGTTCTGAAAGCTGACTGAGATGAGTGAAGGTCATCAGTTTCCTTCAGGAACCTCTGGAGCTGCATCTTGACCACTTGGACTTCATGTCAACTGGCAGACCTAAAGCCCAGTGTTCAACATGGTACCTTCTCTTAAAAAGGACATTGAAATCACTTGCTTAATGATAAGTGATTCAATTCTGTGTTATGGGCCACATAGTTATACTTACAGGAGGACGGGAATCCAGTGAATAACATGAGGAGATGAAGTAGGTGGATGCTTCATGTTTTTCTAGATTTCTGGAGGGAGGTCTAGTTTTTCCTTTGCATTTGTTGAAATTTTCCCCCATTTTATGACGGCCAAGACGACCGTTTCTGGGTTCTTCTGGCTTGAAGGAGATAAGGGCCCTTGCCACCAGATTTTGATGGAGGTGATTGGGTGACTTCCAGCAGTGTGATAAGGAGGTTGTGGTCAAAGACAGAGCTCAAGACAGCCATCCATGAACTGGGTGGCCTGAAAGTGCCTTCAGTGTATCTAGATCCATGATAGTGTGGGCGTATGAAAGGAGGATCCCATAACAGTATCTTAGAGAAACTTCTTCCTTCTTCCTCGTCCATCCATCTCAATGGTCTTCAACTAATGAAGGTGTGCAACTCAAAAGAGAATAGAATAGAATAGAGCTGGAAGGGACATTGGAGGTCTTCTAGTCCAGCCCCCTGCTCAACCAGGAGAACCTATACCGTCTCAGACAGGTGAATGTCCAGTCTCTTCTTAAAACTCTCCAGTGATGGAGCCCCCATGATTTCTGGAGGTAAGCTGTTCCACTGGTTGATTGTCCTCACTGTCAGGAAGTTTCTCCTTAATTCCAGGTTGCTTCTTTCTTTGACCAGTTTCCAACCATTGTTTCTTGTCCGCCCTCTGGTGCTCTGGTGAACAACCTGGCCCCCTCTGCCTTGTGGCAGCCCCTCAGATACTGGGACACTGCTATCATGTCTCCTCTATTTCTTCTTTTCTTTAGACTAGCCAAACCCAAGTCCCGCAGCCGTTCTTCGTATGTTTTGGTCTCCAGGCCTTTGATCATTTTAGTTGCTCTTCTCTGAATTTTTTCCAATCTCTCAACATCTTTTTTGTGATAAGGTGACCAAAATTGGCTGCAGTATTCCAGGTGTGGTCTTACTAGGGTTTTAATCCTGGCATGAAAATGAATGCTTCTATTTGACCACAGATTTTTCAGCTTTATTTAGAAGTTTCACACACAATGTCCATTAGCAAGCTTCAGCAATAATTCTGCATTTTAAGATCTTCCTGCCTAAACTCCTCTTTTCAGCCTTTTGGTTCTCCTCCTTTTTTTTTTTAAGCAATAAAAGCATCAGCAGCTTCTGGGGTCACGGCTGGCAGATCTTGCTGAGGGTGGTACTTGTGGAATTCCACTTGAGAGGCCCGAAAGGGAAAACAAGGGAACAGAGCTTGTAAATAAGTAATGGGAACTTTTCCTGATGTTTTTCCTTTTGAAAGCACTGAAGGAAAGAGAGGAGGGAAACACTGCAGAGGAGAGGCAGAAGGAGGTTGGAAAAGTAATGAGTTTAAGAACTGGCAGGCAAGAAATCCACCAATGGTTCAGAAGAATCCATTTCCATGATTGGCAAAACCTGATAAGAATAACAGAATAATAGAGTTGGAAAGGACTATTGTCCCTTCTATTGGAGGTCTTCTAGTCCAACCCCCTGCTCAAGCAGGAGACCCTATAACAGTGAGGGCGAACCTTTGAGAGATCAAGTGCCCCCAAACCACCCTGCCCCCACCCCACCCCCACTCTGCACCGTGCCCCACCCACGGGGCCACCCACCACTTCCATGGCCCACCGCAGCAGATCGCCCAGGCAGCCCAGCAGCGCCATGGCCACGCCCTCCACCCATGCCCCACAGCATCATCTGCCCGTGACGGGGTGCAAGGGCAGAGTCTTGTCCGTGCTGCCCAGCTGCCATGTCCTTGGCTGCGCTGCTCCGCATGGGCCACGCCTGGGGGGAACTCTCCATTGAGGGGGCTGTTCGTGAGGAGTGGGCTGCAGGGGGAGATGGGGCTGGGGCGACAGCACACGTGCCCACAGAGAGGGCTCTGAGTGCCGCCTCTGGCACGCGTACCATAGGTTCACCACCACTGCCCTATACCATTTCAGACAAGTGGCTGTCCAGTCTCTTCTTAAAAGCCTCCAGCGAGGGAGCACTCACGATTTCTGAAGGCAAGTCCTTCCACTGGTTAATTGTTCTCACGGTCAGGAAATTTCTCCTTAGTTCTAGGTTGCTTCTCTCCCGGCTTAATTTCTATCCATTGTTTCTTGTCTTGCCATGCTCTTCAAGTGTCCTTTCCCCATGCAAAAAATTTAGTAGAGCCAGCTAAACCTTATAGCAGATTATCTATCCCTCTATATCCACAGAGGGTAGTGTCAAGAGCATGTGAAGTGTTAGTACCACTTTATTCTGCACGGGTGAGGCCACACACTTGGAATATTGCATCCAGGTTTGGTCAGCCCAATATAAAAAAGATGTTTGAGACTCTAGAAAGAGTATGATTAGGGAACTGGAGGCGAAAATATATGAAGAACAGTTGCAGGAATATATATGAAGAACAGTTGCAGGAATTGGATATGTCTAGTTTAGTGAAAAGAAGGACTAAGGGTGACTTGATAGCAGTCTTCCAATATTTCAGAGGCTGTCACAGAGAAGAGGGAGTCAACCTATTCTTCAAAGCCCCTGAGGGCAGGACAAGAAGTAATGGATGGAAACTTATCAAGGAGAGAACCAATCTAGAACTCTGAAGAAATTACCTGGTGGAATGGCTTGAGTATATAAGGATGGCTTTGATTCCACCATGAGCCATCCTAAGGTGAGGGTGGCTTGGGACATTTGGCCTCAAGAGAGATTGCGAGGAAGGGTTTTTCCGAGAAGGCTATTTCTCCTATAGCAGTTTACTCTAGATGTGGAGTAGCACCTGCATTCTTGATGTTGCAGAGATCTGTAGTACAGAGAAGTGATAGCTGATGTTCTTAGCCATCAGCCACAAACTCCTAACTTGAAGTGAAATGAGATTTGAACTAGCGTGAAGATTCATACGATTCGTGCATAATGTCAAATTATGTCAGAGGGGAAAAAACAGGTCCAAAAGCAGATGTTCCAAATTACTGATTTATTGCTAAAGCCTCTGCGCAGGAATCTTCTCAATTAGCACTTGGTTAGAACTGGATAAGGGTCAACAGTATTCAAGTGTGTGTGTGTGTGTGTGTGTGTGTGTGAGAGAGAGAGAGAGAGAGAGAGAGAGAGACTTAGTTCTCTTGTGTCTGCGTAATCATTCTAAACTGATGCCTCATTTAACTCCTCCCCCTGGCTCTGCCAGTCCTTGTCTGAATATTAATAGTGCTTGAACTATTACTTACTGTTACTTAGCAATAGATGGTAGAAAATGGAAGAACTAATTAAATATCCTCCCCATTGCAAAGAGTGATTTTGTTGAGGCTTTCAGCCAACAACTAGCTAGCTTAATCTGTTCCATACTCCATTCTTTTTTGTTGTTGTTGTTGTTGTTCGTTTGCTTTCCCATCTGATATTCAGTATTCTGGGTTTATGGGGAATGCTTAATCTTTCTTGCCCTGCTTCTCCCTCCCCCCCCCATTTTTTAAGTTGATGCAAAAAACATTCTTTTATCTATTATGTCAGATTCCCAGAGAGAAGGCTTAGTGGAAACCCTGGCTTGATAGCTTTCCGGATGCAAGGATTTGTGCTGGACACGTGTCTTTTTGCATGTGTGTTCATTTGCAGCTTTTAATGCTATACAGGTAGTCCTTGACTTACGACCACAACAACTTTTCCACTGCTAAGCAAGGCAGTTGTTACACACCCAACTTTACAGCCTCTTTTTTTGCCATGCAAATCACTGCAGTCGTTAAGCGAATCTGGCTTCCGCCATTGACTTTGCTTGTTGGAAGCTGGCTGGGAAAATTGCAGATGCTGATCACAAGAACCCAGATGTTGCAACCGTTGTAAACACATGCCGGTTATCAGGTGTCAATTTTGATCCTGGGATACTGCAATGGTCGTAAATGTGAGGGTGGGTCGTAAATCACTTTTTTCAATGCACTGTAACTTTGAACGTCTCTAAATGAAATGGTCGTACGTTGAGGACTGCCTTAGTCTAGCCAAAAAAATCCTACAGAAAGAAGTCTTTCCCTGAAATGACTTGCACGGCATCATTTGGGCGCAGACCTTCCCTAGCCAGGGGGCCCAAACTCCCCGTGTCCTTTCAAAAGGGAGAGACTAGCATTCCCACCAGGTGCAAGGCGCATGGCTTCCTTATCCCCTCCGAACGGGTGGTGGGAGGAGGTGGCTTTCTCCCTGGGGGGGGGAAGAGATCGTGGCTGATGGGCCTTGTGTTTGTCTTTCAAGCTGATCAGTGGCGGTTCGATTGTCAGTGCCGAGGCAGTATGGGATCACGTCACCATGGCCAACCGGGAGTTGGCGTTTAAAGCGGGAGACGTTATCAAGGTGCTTGATGCCTCCAACAAGGACTGGTGGTGGGGACAGATTGACGATGAAGAGGGCTGGTTTCCGGCCAGCTTTGTAAGGGTGAGTAGCTTTGGTTTTTCTCCTTTCCCTCCCCTTGCTCCATTGAGCTGGCTTCATCATAAGTAGGTGCGGCTGGGCCCAGAGCTGGTGGGGCCAGGCCAAAGGTGTCATTTTGGTCACTCCTATCTATTGATTATTTGAGTGTATGGTATATCCTACATGGACTTGCAATATGTATTAACATTTCCCCTAGATTAAAAAATGCAATAAAATATAAATGTTAAAAAGATCTATGTTCAAATACCAATGTCTAGCCCAGGGGTCCCCAATCCCTGGACCGTGGACCGGTACTGGGCCGTGGCATGCCAGCAACCAGTCCACACAAACAACCAAAGCCCCATCCGTGGGATGCAGGCAGCACACAAAACCACGCACCCTCCGGTCCATGGAAAAGCCTTTCTCTTTGGGTCTCCCTGGGACCCAAAAGGTTGGGGGCTTCTGGTCTAGGCCATCTAACCATTGAGGCGCAGCATCGTTTATATGGAAAAAAAATCAGAAACTGGGCCAGTCTATGCCTCAGCTTACAACCAGTCACCTTGTGATTTACAGTTTGACGTGGGACGCCCGCAGTCACACTGAGTGGAGGATGCTATGACCCATTTATACAGAGTGTCCCGGTAGCTGCTGTGTGAGGTGCAAATCCTACTCAGGGTTGCCCATTGCTGGCATGGCAGCTCAAAGCTGGACACCCTTTATGTGGGGTCATTTATATGTCTGGACATCCAGCAACCCATTTGGTTTTCCATCGGGAGTCTGTGTTGAAGTTGTTGGGCAGATGTTGGGCTTCCTGGATTTGAACCTTCCGGCTGATAAATGAAAAAAGTTCCTGATAGGAACGAGTTGTTCATAATTTTTTGGGTTGATAATGTAGGTCACCCCTAAATTGTACAAAATGCTAAAAAAAAAAAAACACTTTTGCAAATGGTTGCGGCTGCTACCACATTGCAACTGCTTGCAACTGAAAATTGCATCTGCTAAGCAAAATCTTCCAAGGGGTCTTGGGGTGTGCACCAACTGCTGAGGGCATCTGTAGCCTTTTCCTGGACTGGATTCACACTTGGCAAAAGCATAGGTTTTGCGGCAGAGGTGTCACCTTTTCACAAGCAAACTGGTGATGACCCAGGGGTTTTTGAAAAAAAAAAATCCAGATAAAGGCAGTGAGACAGAGGTGCAAAAGCTAAAACCGAACCTCTGTGTATAGGTGCAGCCTATCTTTGAATCAGCTGCCTCTGACAAAAAGCAACATAGTTTACCAAACTTTGGGATTTAAACTGCCCTCTGGCTGACACTGTGAGAAATCAGGTGATGAAATGAATGGGTGTTTGGCCTCCTCCATTATATTTTTCTAATGTTCTTACATAATGGAGAAACTGGGCTATTTTCTGTTTTGCATCCATTCGTTTAGAAGCATGCTCTGCCCCATTTCTGTATTAAATCAAATAAATGAGAGAACAGTTTTCCCCAAATATGCGGGGTTTTTTGCATTTTACATTATATTATTTTTTTTAAAAAAATTAAAACTCATTCTCTACGGTTTCACTATAAATTTTGAACTTCAAAATTTGGGGATGCCAGCTTCAAGCTTCTGTAATAATGGAAAACTGCAAACATGAGACAAACTCTACCATTAGGGAATATAAGATTTAAAATGTTTTGAATACAGTAGGTCTTATAATTATGGAATCTTTCTTCTTGGAGATGTTGCAGAAATCTGTTTTTGTTTTGGCCTTTTTTTTTTTTTTTGCTGTTACTTATCCAATCGGTGTTCTAGTTTCCATTGGCTGCAGAAATAATCTTTGCAACAAATTCTAATATTTGTTGTTCAAATGACTTTTTACTGCTTTGTTATGCTTTTAATTTTTTAAAACTGTGCTTCAATGGTTTCTAGGGAAAACAGACTTAAAACTACACATATTCCAGGGGTATAAATGGTTCTCCTCTGTGCATAGCACTTTTGATCTACAAGTATTCATTCTGGATTCTGTTTCTCAGCTATACATAGAGAAAATTGCAGGAAAAGGAAATAATAGACACATACAGTCCACTGGTATTTAAACAAAGCTAGGAATAAAACTCAAAGCTAGGAATAAAACTCAGTTGGGAATGAGATTCAAAATGTGACTTAAGAAGTTTTCTTTATAAGCCAACAGATTTTTCTAAACAACTATTCTTCCAAGCTAGTAGTTAGAAAGTGTGTGTGTGGGGGGGGACAGGAGACTTGCCGATTTTTTAAATAGTCTCACACTGATTATTCAAGTGCGTGTATTTTCTTAGTCAGTTATTCTCTCCTGGTTTTGAGGCAGCGGTTTAATAAATATTGTGGCAGATTGTAGGTGGCTAGCTGAAGCGGACTGTGGCTCAGTGTGAACACACAACCAAATCTGGAATTTTGATCCCTGAGCCTACCTGGATAGAAAAAATATTTCTTTTTTTAAAAAAAATATATTTTATTAGATTTTATATGGGTAGGGAAAAAGTGGGGTCGGTGTGGGTACAGGAAAATTGGGATAAAGGGGACAGGGTGTGGATAACTACAGTAAATACATAATTCAGCGAACAAGCTGTCGTCCGGGTCTTCATATTGAATATTATTGTTTATATAATACTAGACATTTATAAGAATAAATCGGTATAGTTACAACTGATATTTGGTAAAACACTAATATTCCTTTAAATAATTAACATAAC